TGTATCTGCTGCAAGCCCTTCTGATTCTGTGCATGACAAGGTTTTTATTCTTTACTTCTCCTTCTATTCCTTCCCTGCCTTTACTTCCACTGTGCCGGTTCTCAGAAGCCTGATCCAATCTTTTTCAATTTAAGACTCTCAAAGTCAAGGTTCGACCTTCAAATCTCTGTTCCTGCCTTTAGCGGCGTAGAAGCAGGTGTCATGGAAAAATTAGGCTATATGTTTCAGAGGGATACAAAATAAATAAAGCACACATCGTACTACTTGGGAGCTGTTGGAAGGATGGACCTATCCCATTACCTTGAAATAATGTGGTAAGTGAAGTGATAGGCATTTGCAAGCGTATGTAGGAGAGTTGTGAGGTGAAATGGCAGTTAACGCCCAGAGAGACTTACTTGAAATTCCCACACAATCTGAAAAGGCTTCCTGAGTTTTACTGGAAGCCTGAGGAACATCAATTAACCATGACTACCTACAGTGAATAATAAACACTCATGAAGACAGAAACTGAGTATAAGTTGACTGTTTCTTGAGTGTTAATATATCTAAGTATTTCAATAAGACCCTGTCCCCACACAGTTAGCAAGGGTAGAGTCAGCATTTGATCCTAATCATTCCAACACAGTTTTGCCTCTGTCCTTCACAGTTCCCACTTCTGAAAAAGGAAACGCTACACACAACAGCAAAGGGGTGAAGAGAGAAACCGTAAATCCCAAGTGGAGGCTGCTGACAACAAACTTGCAAGAAATCCATGCTCGTGAAAAAAGCAGCCCCAAAACATGTGTCAATGGGCACTCAATTTTAATTATCCAGCAGGAAAAAAATTAGTGTTTTCTATCCAAAAGGGGGCTGTAAGTGTAGTCTTTACTCCCAGCTGCATTCCCTGGAACACAAGGTGTTCTTAGTCTAAGTGGAACCTAGGGTTGTGGACTTTGGCAGAATTAATAAATACGACTTTATGAAAGAGCAAGGAAGGAAGAAAAGGAAGAAATGGAGGGAAAAAAGACAGAGAGGATCACACACGTGATATGACAGTATCATAGTGTTCATGGATGGAGGGAACACTCACTTCAATTATCCCCCACAAAATGCAGATGCCCCCTTCCTTTTCTCTTTTTCTTGCTGTGCCAGGAAAAGAGTACACTTTATTGGAGGAACATTTGGCAGAATAAGTGTTTGTTTTCTGCACAGTTATCCTAGACTGTTTGTACACTTGTCTGTATTTTAATGAGCACAGGTCTGGGAGTAAGAAGAACAATCAGGAAACCAGTGCAATAGCCCCGGTGGGGAATGTTGAGGCCCCAGCGAGGGGCTGAGGGGCTCCACAGTAGGAATGTGGAGAGCTGCTCATGTGATGAACTGGTGACTGACTGACCTGGTGACTGACTGGACACAGTAGCCCTCTCCAAGTGGTCTGAGAATGATGGATCTCAAGGGGCTTCCCCCGGGAATGGCTTGCTTCCCTTCTCTTCTCTTGCTCTGTCCCTTTTTCTACCCTTAGACTTTGCACCTACTACTCCCCTTGAGGCCATGTCAGCAGTTCAGACTTGCAGTTTCTGCTTTACTCATTCAGTAAGCGCTCACACACAAAGTGGGTAATGGTTCACAACAAATGCCACTACTTTATAACCATTGACTAAGGACCAGACATGGCAGATGCTTAAACACTCCATGTACATGATCACATTAATTCCTTGACCCAGCTCCTTAATAGCTTTGTTGCCCTCACTTTCCAATAAAGACTAAGATGCAAATGCTCACACCACTCAGCCAGCCTAGGATTTGAACCTACGTTGTCCTAAATCTTTCCACCCACGAAGCCACCATTCCTTGCCCATTCATAACTTACAAAAGAAAAACAAAAATGAGGAGAGTCAGGTCAAGAAAGGTATGAGGAGTGTCAGGTTAGTTTTCAAGAAACAACTAGAAAACCCGAATTTAACATACGAACAGGTTTGGACCGCAGATATGTAGTATGCCCATATTCTGGCTGAGACCATGGGAACACAGATGACGATGAGAAGGCGGTGTTATTGACACAGGGTTGGCAGAGAAAACCTCAGAACTGTTTCTTGTAAAATGCAATAGGCATAGAATGATGGGGGACTGAAAACTAAAGCTCGTGACAAAGGGGATAGTACACCAAGGAGCAGAAAAGACATGAAGTAGGACATGGATAGTAGGCTAGCGAGCTGATGGATTCACTGTCTTGGGCTCACTGAGCAGAATGAAGAATGAGGTACTCCACTTTGCCAAGGCTGGATGGCTGCAGGGAACATCTCACAGTAAGACTTGGTATCGGAGAGAAAAAAGAAAAGAAAAAAAAAAAAAAAGGAAAACTCCTTCTAGATACTGAGGAACAAATGTCTAATTTGAGCTCAAACTTCTGTGCAGCACTTTTTAAAAACTTCCTCCCATCTACTGAGCTCTCTTTGGTTTATCTTGCTTCTGGGTCTGTTTTCCCTCCGTCTGTCTTTGACGCTCTTCAGTTGCCCCTAATATATTTAGCTGACTTTTTCCAGTAAAGAACTAGGTGTCTGCCAAGTGGCCAGTTCCAGCTTCTCTCACCCTTTCTCTTCCAGTCTCACCCCCTCTCTGCATCTCTTACTACTCATTTCATCAGAGATTCTCCCCACTTTGTTCCCGTCTGACTCGATTCCTTTCCTTTCCAGTGGGCACTGATTCTCCTTTTTCTTTGCTTCTTCCTCCCACCCTTACATGTTTTTTTTCTCATTTTTTCCTTTCTCTTCCTAGCCTCTGCTGGGAAGCCAGAAGCAAAATCTTACCCTTTCAAACCTTGTTCTACCCAGAGAGCCCCAGGAAATACTGTAGAATAATCAGAATGGAATTGATGTTGGCTAGAATTACTCCCGGACAAAGAAAGCTTCAAACTGGGGCTCCACAGGCTGGGGACCTTCTTGACTGCTCCCATAGTGGCCGGGGCAGTGGTTCTCAGTCTTCAGTACTTTTCAGAAGCACCTGGAGGCCTTGTTAAAAACACAGATCGCTGGGCCCTACTCCCAGAGTCTCCGAATCAAGAGGTGTGGGACAGGGCCTGACAATGTGTATTTTTACCAGGTACCCAGGTTATGCCAATTGTGCTGGTCGAGGGGCCACACTCTGAGAACCACTGGAGGCTCAGCTGTGCCTGGCAGCAGGTGGGCACAGGAATCAGAAGAGGGAGTGGAGTTTTGTTTCTTGTCACATCACAAAAGGGACTGACAGGAGCCTAGGAAGCTCAGGATAAGGGATGGGGAGGCTGTGCTGGGGGTGCAGGGAGGAGGGGAAGACACATGAGGAAAGCGCTGTGTTGGAGCCTTCTGGGAAACACGGAAGCCAGCTCCCAGCCCTGTCACCCCCCCTCCCCCCGGACCCCCCCCTCCCCCCGCCATCCTGCATCGAAGCAGCAGAAGGGAATTCTCAGGATCCCTTTGATCTCTTCCCAGTTCTGAGTCCTCTGCCTGTTTATCTCCCTCCTCCCCTGGCCTCCTCTTCTTGCTTTTTACCCCCTGCCCAGTGGATGAGTCACTGCCCCTCCTTCCCACCCCATTGCCATCTGTTTTTCTAATGATGGCAGAAGATGAGCTGTTTTGTTGGCCCGTGCTGTAACAAAGCACACTCTGCTAGCATTTTTCCTGATGGACTCTCAGAATGCTATTTTATTGGTATCATTTCCCCACCCAGTTTTCCCTTTGTCTCAAACCCCACCCTTTCCCCCTCTTTGGCCTCATGTAGATCCCAGTTTCCCAGAATTAGATAAAGAGAAACAGAGATACAGAAGAATTGAGGGATAGAGAAGCATGTGGTTTGGGTGCGTGTGTGTGTGTGGGGGGGGTGTTGGAAATCAGGTGCAGTCCAATGGCTGTAGCTAGCACACAAGGAGCAACCAGAATTACCCAAGTATCACTGCTAAGTGGTTTAATTACTTGCAGTGAGAAATTTGAATGGCAAAACCTATTGTGACTAAGTAGCTATTCCTGGGGTAAGAGGGTTTAAATGGTGAGAGAGAGAGAGAGAGAGAGAGAAGTGTCCCCTCTCCCCCACGCCATGATTTCTGAGTCATTCTCTCCCCCTCCCCCATAAGGCTCTGCCTCATTCTTGACTCTTCTTCACAATAATTCTTGTTAATCTAGCTAAGGAATTCACAGCGTGCTAAATCTCCCACTGGAAGGGGATCACCCGTGTGAAGAAGTACATGGGATTCCCTGAGGAAGTAAAGCTCTGGTTGGAGTTACCCAACAGTGGGTTCCAGGTCCACCTCAGAGGTTGAAAACAGATTCCTGCGTGACTCTGGCGGTTGATATAAGTGAGGGAAGCCCGCTAGGTAAGGAGCCCTGGGGCAAGGGGAGCATCTTGCTGACCCAGAGAGCAGCTGCCCTTTGGGGTGTAGCTGTCACTCAGACCCAGCTAACTGTTGCCATGATTGTCAGACAGTCTCGTTTTCCAAGAGACAAACCAGCACAAAGTGTTTTATATTGATTTTTATTTGGAGTATGTGTGTACGTGTGTGGGATGTCATACACACATACACAAATCTTCTGTGAAGTCCACATTTCTACATATTGGCAACCAGAACGAAATTGTTTTCAGACACTGTGCTGGCCAAATAAACCATGGTCTGTAGGCCATGATTGGTCTGCAAAGCCCTGATCTAACTAAGCTCAAGTAAGGTCCAGTTCCAGAATCCCACAACCATAAAAAATTCTGATTTGCTTTTTAACTTATTTTTTATTAGGTCATTTAAAAGGAGACTCGAGATTTTGCTTAAAAAAAAACACAAAAAGAGGAGAAGAAATCCTAATATCTGTAGTTTGAAAATTAGAGAGCTAAATTTAAGAGATTAAGCCAAAAGCATAGGAGTGAGACCTTGCATTAAAAAGACTCAGGTCCCTAAGCAGGGTCGGGCCTGGTTAGTACTTGGATGGGAGAAAGACTCAGGTCCCTGTGAGAAAAGCAGACTGGGCCACTCTGGGGTGGGTCTGGGAGGGCAGGAGGCTTACCTCACACGACTGGATGCAGTGGATGAGGAAGGGGGGTGGGTGCCATTGACGCCGCCCAGTGCACACGATGCTCTGAAGGGGAAAATGGAGAGAAGAGAAAACAAAAACAAGGACCTCGGGTCAGAAAGAGAAGGGCCAAATCCCGAGCTCACCACACCAGCCCAACCCCATTCCCTGAGGAAGGAGACCCCAAATGCACCCCATACAGAGGGCGGAGGCAGTGGTCTTGCCTGTGGAAGTGCAATCATCCTGCCAGATGGTGCCAAGTGGACCTCTCCTCCTCTTCACCCTCCCCTCCCCCGCCGAGGTATCAAACTTTCCAGAGAGACGAAGGTGTAATTTTAGAAAGCATCCTCAACGTTGTAATGAGTGTAATTTGGTTCTGGGCATAATATTTTTTCCATTTGCTTTGAAATTTTCAATACCATTACAAGAAATTGTGAGATGGCTGGGCTGACTAGGCTGCACCGTGGATTTTTAAAGGCTGAGCAGTATAACTTCACAAGAAGAGTCTTGAACTGAAAATGGATCTCAAGAATCCTAGACAAGAAGATGTGAGTGCCAAGCAAGGGCTGGAGGGTGAGTCGAAAACTCTGTAGCTCCTGTTAGCACCATTTATCCTTTCCTGGTGAGAAATAAAAGGTCTGCTGGGCTAACAGGGTTAATGGGACACCACTGGGCTTCAAAATGGCGCCCGCATCAAGCTGGTGTGAGCAAAAACACATTCATATTAAATGTGAGCCCCATAACTGTCACTGTCCCAATGGCCATTTCCAGATGGGCATTTAAACAAATACTCATCTACTCTTTGTTGAATAATAATTACAACCCATTTTCATTCAACTTTTCCCTTTTAATTTTTGGATTTTATAAATTTCAAAGGAAACACTTCAGGAAAAGAAAAAGTCCCATAGGAGGCTTCAGGGAGAAAAAGATTGATTCTCTCTATAGCCCATCAACCCAAACCATTTGTAGACTTTCATACTCACATTTTAATTCAGTGCAATCAGAAGAAAAAGAATACACTGTGAGATATGAGCTTTCCACAAGATAGCACCTCCAGTAATTGGAAATTATACGTTCTAGAATGTTAAGACTGTGTGGTAATCAGATTGGAGACATTTGCGTATATTACCATGTAGGTATATGAGGTATACCTCATAGTTATGAGAATGGAGAACTGCAAGATTTTTCTGGAGTTGTGTTGGTATAAATTAAAATTCCTCTTTCACAGTCTCCCTAAAGGGGAGATAATACCATAAATCCTAATGAATTCTGAAATTCTAAATTCTACATTGTAATAATATAGAAAGTACCTTGGTTTAAGTTTTCATTGCACTGGGAAAAAAAGGATTATAGAGGATTATACAAATACATAAGGTAAATACAATGGGAGGAGTTCAACCTACTAAAAAATGAGATATTCTGCACCAAAAGCCACTTAAGCACCTATTTGCATACAAACAATGGCTCTGCTACCTAGAAAGGATTCTTGTTTATGTTTTTTTTTAATATTTTAATGTTTTATTTATTTTTGAGAGGGAGATAGAGACAGCATGAGCAGGGGAGGGTCAGAGAGAGAGGGAGACACAGGATCTGAAACAGGCTCCAGGCTCTGAGCTGTCAGCACAGAGCCCAATGCGGGGCTTGAACCCACGAACCATGAGATCATGACCTGAGCCGAAGTCGGATGCCTAACCGATTGAGCCACCCAGGCACCCCCTTGTTTATGTTTTAAAACCAGTATCAGTGGAACTCTTTTAGCTAGCAATGGTCTCAATTTCTAGTGTTTAAAATATCAGTGGTTTATGCTTCCTTGTTACCTGATGATGCTAATAGCATTATCAAGCATACAAACTGGAAGTTGTACCCTTGTGGTGTAAATACAGAGCATTTTTTTCCTTCTGATAGCACCACATTCCCAAAGATTCCCATTCCCCATTCTTATCAGTCAGACATTCAAATGTATACATGCTTCACTCTCTATGAACCAGAGTTGCTGCCTTCAAAGAGGTCAAAGTCTGTGGTGAAGGGAGCTGGAAGAATGCCAGTGCTTTCCCACAAGACGATACTTAGCCTCGCCCCCCTCACATGATGTCTATGGCCAGAACTTGCCAGAACACTGAACTGACTGTGCTGGCTTCTTTTTTGCCCACAACACCTTCTACCCCATCCACCTCTTTTATAAATGCCTGGGTGAGGGGTCCAACTCTTGATTTAGGCTCAGGTCATGATTTCATGGTTCGTGAGTTCAGGTTCCACGTCAGGCTCTGTGAAGCCTGTGAAGCCTGTGAAGTCACAGCGTGAAGCCTGCTTGGGAGTCTCTAAATAAACAAACAAACAAGCAAACTTAAAAAAACTATAAATAAATAAATAAATAGATAAGCAAATAAATGCAGGAGAGTTGTTGTGTTAATAACACTTTAGAAACTCTAAGGATATATTGCAAAGGGAGTTAAAAGAAAGGAAGAGTCTGTCTTTACTTCTGATGCATTTTCTTCAATGCTCTTTTGTCCTATTATCTCCACCTGATGTTTTCTATCTTTGTATTTTTATGTAATTTTATTATCATGTAATACAGATTCACAGAATAAAATATAAAATGTATAAAGGGTGCACAGTCTCCCTGTGTAAAACTCCTGATCCCCAACCAGCCAAGTTCCTCAGTTTGATTTTCCATGTTTTGTTTCATTACAGAGATGCTCTATGTATATGCATACATGTATGTATGAAATTATTTCCTCACATACATTCTATCATTTTATTTTGTATTTTGGTCTGCTATTTGCTTGCTTGCCTTTATTTCACTCCACAGGGTTTCTCCGGGTTCATGTTACAGTATCTGGAATGTTGTATTCTATTGATTACAGAGTATTTCACTGCATGTATGAGCCCTCGTATACTTAACCGGGCCCATACTGATGGATATTTAGGTGATTTACAGTCTTTTGCTCTCACAAACAATGCTATGTATAAATCATTCCACACATGTCCAGCTATTATCTGTAGAATAAATTCATGATAGTAGAATTGAGAATACCCATCTCAATGATTCTTTAATGTTCTATAATTCAGACATGAGATGAATTCAAACTGGCATCTTCCTTAATCTCTATAAAACTGCAATAGCTTCTGGTACCTGGGTCTAAGACCATCCTAGACTGCAAAATCCTTGAGAATAGGAACCATCTCCCACTCATACATCTTATCTCACTGACTTAGAGATGATGTTTCACGAGTATCTGTCAACCACTAAATACGATGTTGGAGCTCCAAGATGCTCCTCTATCTTCTGGCCCATGAGCGTTGTTCATCCCATAAGGAAAGATATGCATATGCCATTAATTGAACTACTACTTATTGATCAAAATTGGAGGAGAATTTCAAATGTACTTCAGGCCTTAAATTTAAAGGGCAAGTTTGTGGCGGTGAGGTGAAAGAGAGGAATGAAACAGGAGGAAAATAAGGAGAAAGGCTAGTTCCTGGTAAGGTGAGGTAAATTAATTCAACAAGGTAGCTAGTAGACTAAGGTGGCTCTGATGTCATGGTGGACTACGTAAGCAGTCCAGGATCTAAGTCTGTAAATGCTTCAAGGCTATGAAACTAAAACCCACAGGCAACCAGTCACAAAGAGTCAAGGAGGTTTTAAGCTAGAGCCAATCAGTAATTTCCTGACTTTACTTCCCTTTCCCTCTACCATAGAGTCTCTCCCGAGAAACTCTTGGTGGAGCTCTCCTACTCACTTCCAGTTTGACACTGCCTGAGTCAAACAGATTTTTGTTCAAATAAATTCTGAAAATGTCTCATATGCCTCAATTTATCTTTTAACGGTTCCTTATGATCTTCTTATTTTCTGGAATATTTCTGACAAATTATGATAGTATCTATATTACAACTGAAGAACTATAGGAATGGGGCCTCTGGGTGGCTCAGTCAGTTGAGCGTCTGACCCTCGATTTCAGCTCACGTCATGATCTCATGGTTTGTGGGATTGAGCCCCGTGTTGGGCTCTCTGCTAGCAGTGCATGGCCTGCTTGGGATTCTCTCTCTCCCCCTCTCTGGCCCTCCCCTGGTTGTGCTCTCTCTATTTTTCTCTGAATAAATAAATAAACAAACAAACAAACTTAAAAAAAAGAAAAACTATAGAAAGTAATTGAAAGAACATCCTTATATCCTCTGTTCAGCTTTATCAGATCTTAATTTGCTGTACCTGCTTCCAGAACTTATGTCGCTAGAGATTCAATTGACGTCCTCTATATATATCCCCCCAACCTCATTATCCTTCCTTTCTCCCTGTTGGTAACAACTATTCTGAATTTTTTAAAGTTTATTTATTTATTTTGAGAGACAGAGACAGAAAGTGAGCAGGGAAGGGAAAGAGAGGGAGGGAGAGAGAGAGAGAGAGAGAGAGAATCCCAAGTAAGCTCTGTCCTATCAGCATGGAGCCCGATATGGGGCTGGAACTCACAAACTGTGAGATCATGACCTGAGCTAAAACTGAGAGTCAGATACTTAACCAACTGAGTCACCCAAGCACCCCACAACTCTTCTGAATTTTTAAATTATTATTTCTATACAATTCTGTATGATTACAATTGCTATTATACTATTAGCTAGCCACTTCTCAGGTGAATTGATTGTGAACAAAGACTTCCAAAAGGAAAACATTCATGAGAAAACCAGTTTAAAGATTTCTTCTTGGTTCGGCCATTTCAAAGTTTTTAAAAGGTAAAAAGGAAGATGAGAAGAACAAAGAGAAAGTAGAAGGGGGGAGAGACAGAGAGAGAGGGACAGAGAGATGAGAGACAGAGGCAGAGACAGAGATAGAGAAAGAGAGAGAGAGAGAGAGACAGAGAGAATGAAGGAAGGAAGGGGAAGAGGGAAAGGAAGACCAAGTTAAGGGTTATTAGGAGGGTCATACGGCACTTGAAGGCTATTGCCTGGTTAAATATCTCAGTAAAGGTCACAAGTCTGATAGTAAGCCAACATTAAGGTTTAACACAGAATTGCTCAATTGTTTTTCTTTTATCAGGAATAGTTAGTTGACAGAATGGGCTAATTACCCCACCCCA